AATCGTCTGATCCTTCTATTGGCCTATTACCTCTTTTTGGGTAAGTACTAGAGGGCCCCCAATCAACTCTGAATTGGCTAAGCATCTCACCTTGTGTGATCGTCTTTCAGACGAGCAATATGGCTTTTACTTCACTAGGTCAACTGCTGATGTATTAACGATTATTGCTGAAAGAGTCTATCAAGCTTTAGATAAAAATTGTGAAGCTCAAGCGGTTGCTTTGGATATCTCAATGCATTTTACAGGGTTTGGCATACTGGTCGTCTACACAAGTTGAATGCTTATGGCCTTTCTGGATTAATTTTTGATCTGATTCAGTCTTTCTGGAGGCGAAAATTGTTGCCGTAGAATTATCTCCCTTTGCAGCTCTAGGCGCATTCTGTCACCTTGAGACAGCTGCTATAAATAAACACTTGTCAACTGTTACTTCCATTATTTTAAGCTGGAAATCGCCTACTACTGCTTTGGAACAAGGTTAATCTTGTTTTCTAACACCATTTTGAATTCTAAACTCTACATAAGATTTAACATCAATTAAACCCACATCAAATTTTTGCAATTTTTTGTAAACAAAAATGGCCACATCAACAACCAACGGAGGCTTTATTCATGAGTTTTTCTTTGATTTCAACTCCAATGATTATTTTAAAGGCTTTACTAATTTTATGGTGAGCTACTGGCGACCATTGCTGTACCTGATAGCCTTTCTGAAGGTGAATTATTTTGTCTATTTATAAACAATGAAATAATAACTATTTGTCAACGAGACAAATAAATGTTAGTCAAGTTAAAGAAAGCGCAAACAAATGCTGGTGTCTTCTCGTATGTAAACACAAGGAAGCATGTCACATTTTTGACAGAATGAAAACCTTCTTAGCTATTTTGCTCCTTATTGCACCCCAGAAGTCCACAAGGAGGTAATAAAAGTTAAAGTATGTTAATGTATTTGTTCTTTTATTTGGTGTTTCATTTTTTTTGGTTTTCAACATCAAAACATGCATGCAAAGCGTAATGCATTACATCAAAATATTATGTATGCATTCTTTTATTAGAATATGAAAAATAAAATCTATACACACAATACAAAGAAAGTTATAATAATTTTAAAAGAGTATGTGTTCATGTTTTTGCACCCCTAAAAAAAAAAAAAAAAAAAATTTGCAGCGGCAGGACAATTCTACAATGAATTTAGTGTGCTAAAGGTTAATGCTAATGTCCCCCAGAGCTCTATCCTGGGACCTATGCTGTCCTTAATTTTCATCAATGACCTTTATGTCATCAGTTCTCAACTCCATATCTATACTGATGACACTGCAACTTTAAACCCTCTTCTTCAGTCACTATCTCCACTAAGTTTGTTAAGGAACATCAACCTTACAGGTCACCCAGCTTTCTTTTCCCTCCTTAGTTGAGATCAGTGTGTTGTCTCAGTAGGGTTGATTTGGATATCCCAAAATCTTACAATATTGGGGCAGCCAGCGATGTCTAGTGATGGACCAAAATATACGTTGTGTACTACAGATAAGAAATGAGCAATTCTCAACTGGTAAGTTTTGGGAATCAAGGCTAGAATGAGAATTTCTTCAATAAATCGGACAATGTGGTTTGAACAAATTTATTGAATATTTATAACTGGGGAATAAAATGTTTCTATTATCTTCTAAAAGATCTAATTTCTACCCTATTGGATAGTGGCCAAAGAAATCCAGGAGTAATTTGGTGGAAAGCAGGATTGTCTGACACCACTCACTTCTTCTGTTCTGTGTGCATGTGTGTGCCTGTGTTTGCTTTTGGCTACAGAAATGCAAGTGTGACAGCAACAGGCTAGTCTGCAGGTCTTCATTTAGATAGATAAAACACACACTCTAAAATTCAGCATTGATGTATCTAATTTTCCACTTCCAATTGCCCTATCTTAGAAAATTATTTTATAAGCCACATGGATTTCTTTGTTAAAGAAATTAGGTTCACTCTTTATCTGTAGAATATAAGCATTTTGAGTGAATAGTATTGATGTAAATAGACCCCAAATTTGGGGTCTTAGCACCGAGAAATTCAGACAACACATTAATCATGTCTTATAGGGAAGTGGATAGGCTGGTAGAAAATTTAATTTTGCTCAATTTTACTGAATCTAGACAGATTTTTCTTGGTTTGATTTTCTTTGGAACTGGTGTTAATTTTTTTTTTTTTTTTTTTAAAAACATAATTAACTCATTTCCCTTTCCATCTTTCTCCCAACTATACAATCTATTCTCCTGAGAATTTTAATTATTATCAATTTAATAGCCCCTCCAGCAATTTTATGCAATTAAACACTGAACAAGGCCAGTGCTGTGTTACAACAATATTTACTGCTGTCTTAAAAGTAAGTCTGATTGGTTTCATAAAGATCAAATTGGAAGTTGATCTAAAAAATGACTTAAAATCTGTTAACCAGGGCAAGGAATAGCTTGTTAATATTAATGCCTTCAAAACAAAAATGCTCTCTTTCAATTATCTGAGTGAACACTTTTTACCTTACATCAGCTTGACTGATGCAATCCTCCAGGAAAGTGACACATTGCACCTTTTCAGGCTGTTTTCCACTGACATGAAGTGGAACGATTATATTGTATCAACTGCTAGATCTGCTGTAAGAAAATTTGGTTCACTGTGTCATGCTAGACAATTTTTCTCTCCAGAATCTATCTTGCATATTTATAAGTTTACCATTTGCCCATACTTTGAATATTGCTGCCACATATGGTCTGATGCTCCAGCCATATATTTAGAAATCCTTGATAAAATTGAAAGTAGAATCTGCAATGTGATTGGTCCTGATCTAGCATCTTGGCTTCAGTCACTTTCCCACCACCGTAACAGTTTCCCCATGTCATTTCTATAAATACAGAGTGTGATGGATAAATTGTCATCTAAATAAAAATAACACTGATATCTCATTTTAACAGATACATTTACCAAATTTACCCAAACTATCTTGAAATACTAAAGCATAGGCAAATGGTAAACTTGCTAACAATCGTCATTGGCTTCAATCATGGCCTTCAGACAACATCAGAATCTCCTGCATCTCTTCTGGACAGTCTCCTTGTTTAAGTTGGCTGCCATAATCCTTGACTCCAGTTCATCTTTGGCATTACAAGGAGTTTTGTTGGTCACTCACTTAACTGTAACACACACATAATAATCAAGGGGGTTGCAGTCTGGGGAATTAGATGGCCGGATGTAAAGGGTGATGTGGTCACAGAAATTGTCTGACAGCCATGCCTGGGTTCTCGTGCTTGTGTGGCATGGTGCAGAGTTCTGTTGTCAGATGCAAGTTCTTCCAGAAGCCACACATTTGACCCAGAGCAACAATACCTCCTCAAGGCACTTGATAAAGATCCCTGTGTTGAGTCTGAGGGCCTCATCAACAAATTTGCAAGTTCTTTTCTTAGCAGAATAATCAGAATGAGTTTTCCAAGCTGCTGTACCTTCATAATCACCATTACCCTCATCAAACTCTTTCTGAATCCCCTGCACTTGACACCCTGAAATGTTTGTATTGGATCTTCCAGCACAAATGCCAAGCAGTACAGTATGCTAATGACAATTTACCCATCGCACCCTGTACTTTCATGGTAATTGTTGATCTTTCTCTATGATACCTAGATTTTATGAATTGAAATGCAGTACTAGATTGGTAGCAAGGTCTCACTAGACTTCTCACTTGCAAAACTTTCAATTTCTTGCTTCTCAATCAACTTTGATCTTCAAAAATTTAAATGCAATGTTCATCATTATATTCTATGTTCTTAATTTGTTCTTTTATTTCTCATTCACTAGAGTAGTTTTTTTTTTTTTTTTCACTTTCATATTCTCCAACACTCAGTAACCCCATGCATCTTAGTGGCTTTATTGTCTAGCTTGGGGTGAAGTTTAAAAAAAATAAAAATTGTTCATCAATTACTGACCCTGTTTCCATTGAGTCTGAATATATCTGTGCTACCCATCCCAAGGGCTAAACTCAAAATAATCCTCTGTCCTTGTCACAATCTTGAAACTAAACCATACAGCCTTAACCTAATGTTGTTCTTGTTTGCTCTGCTTGCCACAACAAGTCATGATGACTAACTTCCATCCCCAACACAATATGGCAGTATATGAAGTATAAGCATACTTCTATACAAAATATATTCCAGAACTTCAGTAACCCTGATAGATTTCCACATAAATCCCATTATTCTCACTAGAAAAATATATATGAATAAAATAAAAATGAAAGCACCCAACAATACACTAAAAAGCAATTCATTGAGTCAAAAAATCTCTACAGGTCATTATTTAATAACCAAAACTGCTGTTATCTTTATTGATGCATACTACATTTGTATATTTAAACTTGGTTTTCTACTGTATTCAAAAGTTTTATCACTTATTACATCTCAAAAGCCAAACGAAACCACCAATCACAAAGTATGAACAGTGAGGAAAAAAAAAAAAAACAATTTCTACTTATTAATGCTATAAAGTATGTCAGCTTTAATGATGGCCACTCACAAATACTTTGACTAAATCTGCCTTTCTTTTAACAGATAATTCTGCTACATTTAGGCACCATTGGCCTGGTTTGAAATTAAAAGCAAAGTCGATTAATTAATTAGATCAAATCAGAATTATCAAAATTATACCCATTACTTGGAATTTCAAACAATAAGCATATCATAGTTATGTCATCAAACTAGATTTAGCTAAGTAAATGGCAAGATTGTCAATTTTGAAACAGCTTCATCTGAACAAACAGCCACCTTTGTCAATGAACCAAACATAAACCATACAATTATCATTTAGTTGCAAGATTTACAAGCATCAGCTTCTGTCATTTAAAATGAAGTTATTTATTTTCAGTTTTTACCTTCCTTTTACAAGCACACCTTAATAAGAATAATCAACTAAAACTTCAAACTTCTCAGTTACTTGAATAAAAAAAGGAAAAAAAAAAAAAAAAATATATATACCTGTGATTTCATAAACCTGATGCACATCAACATCCTCAGAATATCCAACTAAACTGAGTTCATCAACAATTCTAACAGGTCGTCCATCTTCATCATGTATACTGTGTGGATTTGGGCGTCGAGGAGATTTACTACGCTCCCTAGAAGAAAAGAATGGACATTAAAGAAACCAGCCGATTATGCTTGCCTTATAAGATCTTTAATAAAAGGGACATTCAAGAATTTATTCCTTTGCATTATTCTAAAATATGAGTAATAACATTTTATCAAGTCCCTACTGTTACTAGGGATAACTTTAATTTAAAATATACAAAGTTTATAAAATTTCATAAAGCCATATAAAATAAAATTTGCCTCATATAAGACTCCTTAAAAAAAAAAAAAAAAAAAAAAAAGCAGCATAGTCAAACTATTTTTAATCTCAAAAATAAACAAGCTAAAACAATGTAAAAACTAAATTATTACCTTGCTGGTCGAGATGGACCTCTAGGTCTCCTCCATGTTAAGTGTTTGGGATTTTTATCATTTCCTTTTTCATCATTTTCAGAAGATGTCCTCCGAGCCCTCTGTAATAAGCGCTTGAAAGGATTGAATCCTGGTGTAGGGTCATATTTTGACAATACCCCTTGACCCAGTAAACTGTTCTCTCCACAGTTACAGAAGGCACACATACGATTATTGCTGAAATGAAGAAGTAAATATTAAAATCAACCAATTTTCCATAAACTCTCCATTGCCTGTTAACTAAAACAGCCTTTATTTATATCGTTCATTTTCCCTTTCCTCTTTCGCTTGGTCTTATTGCTAAGAGAAAAGAAGAGCATAATCTACAATGCCAATTATTGCTTGCACATCCAGTCTATTCTTAGCTTCACCTCAGCATCACACCTACTGCTGATGAGAAGTAATGCTGGTATACCACTTTAATAAATGTTGTTCACATAATGCTTAATCCTGGCATTCCTTACACATTACTTGTTTATTATGTTTTCATTACCATCCCGACATTAACAATGATATTTGGGGAAGTATTTATTTTATGACTTTGTTGAAAGTTAAGTTGATCACAAATCGAAAATGATTTTGGATACAGAAGAAGCCATTTATCTTTGACAAAAGCACACAAACAAATTCAAACAGAATGACTGCCTTGTGAAATTGCACAAATTTGGAAGACTACATATAGGCTGAAAATGTAGGTCATGTCTTTGAAATTCTCATGAAAACTGTTGCATCAAGATTCATCAAGTATTCTTCAGAAATTACTTTTCAGCAAAGATTCAATTCAGAGATGAATTGATAAAATCTCATTTATTTGGAAAGATAAAAAACAAAAAAATGTTCAATTCATATTGATAAATCAGCAGTTTGTAATTGTCAAGCCATTTTCATACATACATTTTATGAATAAAATGATCAGGAAACAAAAAAGAGTTACAGTGAATGAACATGTCATTTTAGCTTCATTAAGAATTAGTGACATATATTGCTTAAGAAAATCACAGAAAGTAGACAAAAGGTTAAAAAAGAGTTGAGAAACTTAAATTTAAACAAATTAAGCGAGTACTCCATTTTAAAACTTAAGAAGCTACAAAAAGAGCATATACCTAGGTGTTCCACTTGAATTTGAATCTTCTGAAATATGCCGCTCAGGTGGCTGCAAGGAAGCACTTTCTAACATTTCACTATTTGCGACATCTGTAAAGAGAAAAGGAGGGGACAATAAAAAAAATTAATGAACAAAAATATAATATTAAATTCAGGAAAAAACTGCTCACTACAAAATATTTCATATTGTGAGAAGTTTAAATAGCCTGAAGAAAAAAAATATGTAAAAATTTGTTTGAAGATAGTCATAAAATACAATTTATTCAACCTCTCATCTTTTAAAAGGAGTGCGTGTGTATTTACGAATCTTTCATTTAAAGTTTTTCCTAAAGTTGTAAACTGTATAATTTGAACTAAAGCGTTTTGTAAATTTATTAAAATGTTACAAGATAATATCCCAAAAATGATTATCCTATAAATTTCACAATAACAAATATAAATTATAAAAGTATTAAAATAACTCATAACTCTATTAATGTCAAGTTATCCCTCTATTAAATCTAAATAGAAATTGCATTGAATTTGATAACACAAGATCAAATTGCAGAAATCACGAAACAAACAGGATTTCAATATGAAGTAAAGCTAATTTTTCATTTAAGTAATATTATGTTCTTTTTTATCTTGTTGTAGATAAAACAGTTTTCATGTATATTTTAAGAAAAAAATAATTGTCCCAATATTGAGAAGTATCTATTTTCTCTCACAACTCAAATTTTTGACTTGCCTAACTCCTTTATAAAATACTTCTATAGTATTCAAGTAATCCTAAAATAAATTTTTTGTTAATGTTTTCAGTTAATCAAAATATTTTCCCAAGCTAATGCTAATTGTCTTCTCTTATTTAGACAACTCAAAACACAACAATCATTATTTCTATAGTCAAAATGAAATCACTGCAATCTCTAATAGTATCAAATCATTCAATTCTTTTAAAGCACAAAGCTAAAATTACCAGTTGACGTTGTCTCCGATATCTCAGTTTCAGTCGATTCATCAGCAAGGACATCTTCTGGAACTGAACTTGATATGGATTCAGTAGTAACAGTTGTAGCAGGAAGAGTAGTAGCAGAAGTTGTTGACTCATGATGAAGCTTGAACAAAGTGGAGTCCATACCTTCAGAGCTAATATCCATTGCTGTCTCAGGATTGAATACTTCAATGCTAGATGTGTACTTGGGTTTGCGCCCTGAGGGCCTAACTCGACTAAAAGAAATATAATATTTTTAAGGAATCAAATATTTATAACAAACTTTAACATTTTTTTTTTTTTACAATAACTTAACAATACAAAAGATTTGACAATTTTGATACTTACAAAAAAATTTAAAAAATAAAATAAATATAAAAAAATAAAAAATAAAAAAAATAAAATAAAAAAAAAATAAAAATAAAAAAAAAAAATAAAATAATCAAGATTTTTTTTCAAGGTTTATTTTTCTTTTAAAAGTTTAATTTACTGACCATGATAAGCACCAATATCACTAAATATGTATTTTGTAACAAATTTATTGTTGTTTCTTGACATAATCTGGCATTCAAATTAGGCCCAAACAATATGGCAATTGAAAATAAAACTTTCAGCTATTTACAAATTCTCAGTTGGGTCCCACACTGGGCCAATTGAGCTAAAAAGAAAAAACTATGCCAATCTTCCAAATCAGAAGTGCTTGGTGATTACAGTCTTGAAAAACCAAAAATATCATGACTTTTACAGTATAAAAATCAAAAGTTTATTTAGTATTAGTATATAAAAACAAGTATTTTCATTCAAAAAGTTTTGTTTTATTAAATGATACTGAAAAAGTGATCGACAATTCAATTTTCCTATTAAAAAGGCAGCTGATCAAAGAAAATAATAAACCTGCTAATAAACCTAAATGCTATTAAAGTAAACTTACTTTCAACAAGAAATTGTTGCCTAATATATCATTATGCTTCCAACAACCTTTAAAAAAAAGCCCCAAATTTTCAATTAATGACATTGCATGCAAACTATAAAGAGCAAAAACAGTAGTTCTAAAAAAAAAAAAAAAAAAAAAAAATGCCTAAATAGTTCCTCTTTTGTAAACACTATGTATTTAAACTGCTATCATTTATAACAAAGAATATATTACAAAAGATTTCAATTTTACACACTGGCTCAACCTTTCAAATATTTTACAAACATTTCATCAGTATAGATATCACACCTTTTCAGAATTTCTCTCACTCTCTCTCACACACACACACACACACACAGTTTGCTAAAGAGATTTCAGCCTAATCTATTTCTGAAAATTAAAACAATTTACTAAACACCAGTTTATATTTATTTTTAAACACTTTTTGGTCAGCACACATCTGTGAGTATGACATTAACAGAACAAACAATATAAAATATACTTAAACAGGATATTTTAAAGTTACAAACTCAAACACCAAAGCTAAAAAATATCTTTATATTTTAAAAAGTGGAAGAAAAATAGGTGTCATCCATTCACCTTAATGAACAAACATTTTGGAATCACAATTGGCTAACTTTGAAGCATACATTAATGTTTTAGTATCAACATCCTCATTGCAGAATCAGAAATGGGTTTCATTTGCAAAGTAGAGAAAATGCCATATCTTAAAGTCAATATTTATACTATTTGGATTTGGTGAAATTTTATAAAGGGGGACCATAATAATGGGAATTGTTTTAAAACAATTGTTAGGGTTGCGAATTCGAAAAAGAAAAAAAAATCTGGCAATATAACCATAGGTATAAATTTTGAGAAAATTTTAATGCACAATTTTCTTGTCACTGTTAAGATACTCACGTTCTCTTCCTGACCAACTGTGAAGGAGTTCCAGATGCTTCCTTTCTAGGTCTACCAGGTCCACGCTTCTGTTGTACAGCTACACTATTGGTATTACTACTATTGCTGCTGTTGCTACTACTACTACTAGTAGCTGTAGTGGTTGTGACAGTCGTGCTACTGCTCATTACAGGTTCGTTCTGATTCCCTGTGCTACTTAAGGAGTCGACTACAACAGATGATGAGCTATCTGAAGACAGAAATGGACCAGAAGATAAAGGCTGCAATGCTATTTCTTGCTGTTCTCCTCGAACCTGCAGATTACAGTTACTTTCATTTGAAGCATCCAGTAGCTGTTGAGATTCCATGGCAGGTAGAGCAGATGCTAACTGGTGAATTGAAGAAGCTTCTTGAACCGATTCATTTTTCTCTTCCGTCTTACTTTTTGCCAGTTGTTCTTTGTTTACTTTTAGTTTGACTTGTGACTGCTGCAATTCGACATCCATTGCTTGATCACTGAGAGATTGTGGTGGGGGTTCCGGTTGGGGCGGTTCTCTTTGAGAAGGTTCTGGTTCTGGAGGCTGCTGCTGTTTGGGTTGTTGGGATTCCAATTGTTGCTGCACTTCAGCTTGTGGCAGTTGGGACTTGCATTCTGGCACATCATCACCCCTCTCCGACACCGGACGTTCTTGAATGGCAGGGGATCCAGACCGTTGCTCTGTCTGAGACAATGTAGACTGCCGTTGGTGCTCAGGAAGCATTTTCTGCTGAGAGAGAAGCTGCGGCACTTGTGATTGCTGCAACGACACTTGTTGGTCAACATCCTGCTTCTGCTGAAACTCCTGCTTCGAGAGTTGTTCCAACTCAGATGATGAGAGCTGCAATTCAAGCTTCTGCTTGGTCTCATGCCCTTTATTGGCTTGGGACAATTGCTGCAGCTGAGAAAATGACTGCAACTGTTTCTCTGATTCTGGCAGTGACCCTGACAACTTTGCTTGCAATAATTGCATCCTGGGTGCTGGCTGTTGCATCTCAGGCTCTGAGTGCAAGAGATCTTGTTGTAAGGAAGGTTTTGGCAGCTCTTCATCACCTGTATGCTGCTGTTGCTGCAATGACTGTTTTGACTGAAATTGCTGTGCTGATTGTGCCAACAGTTGATTTTGTGGCTGTTCAAGTTGGGACAATGACTGTTCAGCCAGTGCCACTCCTTGTTGTTGTTGTTCTGATTGAGGTTCTTGTGCTGGTGACTGTTGTTGAGAATGTGGTGGTGGTGGTAGTGGTGGTGTTGATCGTGACAGTGTTTGTGAAGGTTGTTCTGATTGGGATGATGAATGGGACTGTTCTTGGTGTTGTAAAGGTGACTGTGGTGGACCTTGTTGGGAAGGTGATGGGAGTGTTGGTGATGCTGTTGGTTGTTGGGGATGTTGCTTTGACTGCCCTTGAGGTGACAGTGGCTGCTGTGGAGGAGGAGGTGGAGGTTGTCGTGGTGGTGGTGTTGGGGGTGGAGGTGGAGGTTGTTGTGGAGGAAGAGGTGGTGGGTGTTCTTGTGATGCTTCTGAATTTGGGAACTTTTCACTTCCGCCCTCAACTGACTGTACATCAAACTGCTGCTGCTGCTCCTCAACTGAGTTTTGCTGTGGTGACTGGCTTTTAGATTCGGAGATGGCACATTCCAACTGTAGGCCCCGACCATTTTGGTTTGGTTCAAGATTCAAGGAGACAGCAGCAGCAGCAGCAGGTTGTTCATCAATTTCTCGGTGCTCTTCCACCAGCTGTTCTTCCTTCTTAACCAATGAAGCTTGAAAAAAGTACAAACATAAAATTAAGCTCCTGAGAAATGTTCATAACCTTTACTGGAATTTGTGCCAATTAAATAAATCAGTATTATTTTAAATAATCCATTTTTAATTTATTTGATAATTTCAAAACTAAAACAGTTACAAGCCCAACTGTCAGAATACTCATTCTAAACAAACTTTTTTTTTTATTCATACTGAATTTTAGAAGTATGTAAGCCATAAACTAAGCATTAAAAATTTACACCTCAACTTTTCTCTTCAGTTATTCTAACAGTATTTTCATAGAATAATACAGAATTATTTTGAAAATATCTTCAATATTACAGTTTATTTCTATTTTTCTTATTAACAGCAAACACATAAAAGCAGACATTTACAGTTATTTAAATTCTAAGACATTAATTTTATTTTCATCCAATTACTTTTTGTAGGAAATAAGCTCATATGCTACTAAATAGAATACTTTGTTATTTATTCGTACCATCTTCATAAATGAAAAATAGCTGTTATAGTGATACAAAATTTTTATGATAAAATGACCAATATGAAATATCCAAACAATGTACAACGGAATGTGAAAACCAGTTGAATGCTTAAAATTTTTTTTATTGCTGTCAATGTTTCAATTCAATAAGAACAACTGAAACAAAAATCAAGAAAAATTCATTACCATAGCACTGTAGTTTATTTGAACATTTTTTTAAAAACTTAATAGTTAATAACATTTTCCTATGTACAAATCCCATTGTTTTGTTTACAAACATTTATGTTATTCAAATAGTTATTTCTAATTAACTGTTAAATTTTCAAATTAACCAATGTTTCTTAGTAGCAAGATTGCCACCATAAAGATTTTTCCTCAATTTTTTTTGTTCTCATGTACTTATTGAATGAATTGTTGAAAAAAAGAATAAAAAAAATTGTTAAACACCCAACTTGTTTTAAACATATTCCATCTATGTTTACTACGTGAACACAAGATTATCGAATTAACAAGAATATCCAAAAATCTAATCACTTCACTTGCCAAATCAATGTGCCAAGTTGTCAAAAATGTCATACTTTTTCAATTCTATTTATATTCTACATAGGTGCACTGAGTATATGTTGTAATGAATACATGAACATGTACTCTTGATAAACAAATACAACAGATCAAACATAAGTGTTAAAAATAACATTAATCTTTCAACTTATTAACTTGTCATTAAGAATGCATATACATGGTTTAAGGAAAATTTTGAAACATAGTTTCCCTTCTATGTGGAAAAACAACTATCAAGCAATGTTCATCTTATGATATCTGAATGAAGTTCTTACAGCAACTCTCACATATTCAAATAACAGTTTTTAGAAAAAGTTTAAGATACTTTTCTTTATTTAAAGACTCTCGAAATACTTTCTTGCACAAAAGGGAATTTTTTTACCAATTATGATTTTATAAGTAATCTAGCTGATAAGAGTTTTTCTTATTCAATTTCTTTCATATAAAATACTTAACAGAATCACAGCATAGCAACTTTCTTTACACTTTGATGACCTTTCTAATTAGAATGAAAAAAACGTATCACTAAATTTACAAGAAATGAACTATTATCATTTTAAAAAAACGTATATGCAAAAATAAAAAACCCTCAAAGCAGAAAGTAATTGAATTATAATTAATAAATCGATCTACATTTAAATTGTTAGTGAATAATTTTAATAATGCCATGAAAAGAAATATTTTAATTTCTAATATAAAATAAGAAATTACTAAAAGATTTTATTTCATTTAATTAAAAACTTATGTGCTTCTTGATAAAAATTATTTTCAAGAGGAATATTAATGTAATATTTCAAAAAATAAGAATTATTATAAAAATCTACTGTATTAGAATAGATTTTAATTAAAGCTGAGAAAATATTTTCTGATAGAAATTTACATTTTTATTATTATTTTAAAACCAATCACTTGCTACATTTTAACTACCAAATTGCAAAATGAATGATTCTCAGGACAATGCTGACAATAAAAAATTGTCTGTTTACTGATATCAGCTACCAAAAAATACATTAAAAAAAAAAAAAAAAAATTCTTCAATTCTGTTACCATCATGTTACTGATCTTTCAACTTATGACAAAGCAACTTCTAAATAGAAGCATGTCTCTAAGGTCCTTTGTCGTACCTATTTCAGTTGCAAAACAACAACAAAAGGTATGGATGGGACCTTCTTAATTTATACAAATTTTCACTCAACACAATCATTAACTTTAGTTCAAAATTCCAAATTCACCAACTAAACGTTCAAACTTAAAACAAGAAAAAAAAAAAATCAATCAAAACTCAAAAATAATTTTAATTTCTAAGTTTACATAATTTCCCCAGTTTAAATCTGAAAAAAAATTCCTGGTCAGGTTTGTCAGCTACTTCTGTGGCTAAAAATTCAAATCTGATCAACAGTTAAAAAGAAAAATGTTGATATTAAAATTGTTAAAAGCGACTTTTACAAATTTACTGCCTACGTACCAAGATGAAAAGAAAACAATACAATTTGACCAGAAATACTCTACTGCCCAGAAATTCAGTGAGTGAGAAATACAAAAATAAAAAACAAGGAAAAGAAAATGTAAATAAATATCCTCGAAGACAGATTCAATCTTAAATTGAAATTAAAAAGTTCAGTCTAACTCTCTAATTCTAATTAACTTTGCTAGTTTTTTTTATATGTATGTTTATTGTTTATGTAATATAATTGTAATTACAACTTTCAGTACATTGGTGTTTTTACTGTTCTGAAACCGTTAGTCATTTTTGGCTTATAAAAAGTGTATTATTTTTTTTTTTAATTATAAGTCATTATTTAAATAAAATTTTACTTGATCTAACTTTTTACGTTCTCCCGTGGTACATTCATAAAATTGCAAAGCTTTAATCACATTAACTACTACTAGTAACTAGTTAGAAACTTTTTGTATCACCACAATTATGAAAATTGAAAATACACGCAATGCCAGCAATGAATTTCGCTCAACTTTTTTTGTTAATTTAAAATGAATTTCAACCTAAAAATAACTAAATAGTTTTTTTTTTTTTTTATTTCTCTAAAGAATTTAATTCTAAGAAAAATATTTGATGAATATTTCAAAAGTGCGCGCACACGCAATATGCAAAAATAGCAATCTAACAAAAAAGCAACACAATGAATAAAAAGTAAAACAATTCGATTGAAATGATTTTTAATTAGTAAAACTTGAGCGAAACTGGTCATAGCATTGCCATTTAAAAAAAAAAAAAAAAACAGCAAATTGGCAAATTTTTTTTGATAGTTTGATCATAAGAGAAAAACACTCAAACCATAGACTCAACAGAAAATCGTAGGGATTTCTCAATGTTAGTTAACAATGATTACGACAAAGTTAAAACAAACAATTTTAAAATAGAGGGTCATAGGAAATGTGTCTAAAAAGGAATTTATGACCTGAATCGGGTTCATCAAGTTAAAAATTAAAATCACTTTCAAAACAAAGTAAGTGTAAAAAACGATCTTTCCTAATTTTAAGCCATCAAACAATGAAAAGTTGAAAATAAGTTCCGGAAATTAATAATTAAGAGGAAAAAAAAGGTAAATAACTTTGCTAAGGAGAAATATTTAGAAAAATATAAATATAAATGCTCGTTTAGTGAAATGTGTATTTTAGTTGTAATTCACAGAAAGAACTTGTGTTACTGAATTGTTTTACTTTTTTGTAGTGGTAACATGACAAAGTAATCAATGAACTTTTTATCAAAAACTTATTTGGTGGAATTTAAAATAAATTATTTAAAGAATTTAAGAAAACCTCTGAATTTGATTTCAGATATTGTACAACAAAACAAAAGATAACGAAATAAATAATTTTGTAAATTCACTGGAAAGTTTTTATTGACAAATCTAATTAAATCCGAATAAAAGCAACAAAAAATATTTAAACATGTCATACAAAAAATTCTAATATTGAAGAAGAAACAAAAATAGAATTTATTTAAAAAAATAACAAATAAACCAACTAAAATTGTTTTGAACTGACAAGAACAATCGAATTTATTGATTATTCAAGATTTTAAATTCAAGATCGTAAAAGAAAAAGATATTTTTTCACAAATAAATACATTTGCTACAATAACTTAAGATTAGCAAAATAATTTCCTTTCATAACGTTTGAAAACTTTCTATTTTATCAGAGATTAAATTTTCTTATTTTTGTATACAGAATTTAGACATTTTTTTTTTATTACTAAGAGTTACAACAAACAAATCAACATTTTATTTTTCAAAAGAACTCTTCTGTCAGGAGGACATATTGCCAAACATCATGCAACGTTTTCATGTATTTACTTTAATTATTTACATTTTTTTTTCTAACCCGAACAAAAATTAATTATTCTGTGATAGATGAGCGAGAAAAGAAAAAGGGAGAAGCAATAATAAAAACAAAAAAAAAGTCAGATAATTATTATCTAGGAGAGGAAGAGAAAGATAGCAGCCATGGTGGTTCCGGTGCAGATCAAGGGGGCATAATCTGATATTCGCCATTGGAACATTAAAATGCAAACGAATTACAAGAAAACAAAGCATTTTCATGAATCTCGAAAAAGATTTTTACGTTATTAAAATGTCCCGAAAATTGTGAGGGGAAGAGAATACACAGCAAAGAGTTTAGGCCCACCTAGCTGCATCGCCTTCGTCCATAAACTATGGTCGACAGATTGAATAACTAGTTTTCAGAAACGGTAGCCATATTGAATGCAAAATTAGTAGTAGTTTTATGCTTTTTACGCGAGTTAGTCTAAGAAAGAATTGTACAAGAAGCGACAGAAACAAAACGGGTTTGTGATAACAGCTGTAGAAAAACAAACCATGACCCAATCAGGAAGAAAAAGAACATTAATAAAACGAGAATTGTAAATAATAATAATAATACAAATAAAGATGAGGAAAGGGTTGGTCCCCGGCGCACGGATGGTGGCCGCAGGTAATGTAGGTAATAAGAGAGAGAAAAAAAAGCAAGTAGTATAAAATTAATACTAGTAAAAATAAGTGTTTATTTTTAAAACTCAATAGGTTATTAATTGAACTGATATTTTTTTTATAAACATTAGCTTATTTATTAAAAAAAAAAAAACTTACCTGACATTTAGTCGAACCGGGTGTTGTTATCAGCCCCCGTTTTTATCCTGTAGATGTGCAGAATAAATGGCCTAAGTATCGCCAACAGGCCAGCCGTTTGTCTTACGGTTTCTTGTCGAGTTTACAATAGACATGAGGCAGCAGACAAGAGATGCTTAACTAATAATAATAGTAATAATAATTATTATTATTATTAATAATCGATGGTCACCCGGCAGGAAACCGGATGACGATTTAACTAAACAAATACTTTTCCCCCCCTTTAGCACAAGTAACAAATGCCTTCACAACACATATCCACCCTCTCCAAGATCTAAAGATGCTCTGTATTAAATCTTTCCAGAATCCAGGAAAAAGTCCAATTTTACCGACAATCCAGTCAATATTAAATTCATGTACATAATACTTTGTTTTCCTGAAAATGAAAAAAAAATTTTAAAAAAATGGTTAACTTTGTTTAAAAAATTAAAAAGAAAATGAAGAAAAAAAATCGAAGCGTTCTAATTTACAATTTTGTAAATAATTTTTAATAATAAACGTAACTTTTACTTTGTTGAGAAACAGACATCAACTTTAATTGCATTTAGATTTTATTTTTAATTAATTGCTTGAAAATATTTTTCAACATCCTCCCTTAGGCCAATCGGGCAATAAGTTACTAAATATTTATTTTTTTATAAAATTAAAAATAATTATTTTTATTATATCTCTTCGATGTAAAAATAAATGTCCTACTAGCTACCTGTTTAAGTTCTAATTTCGTGGTCCTTAATGCACTGCCCCTAGAAAAATCGAAATGTTGTTATCTTTATTCGATATCAATAAATTTTGTCGTTTTTTTTTTGTTTTTTTAACATACTTATTTTATTAGATGCATGTATTGTTCCATCAGAAATATTAATAAATATTTATTATTTATTTTAGACATATCCCCTCCCTTTGCTTATAAATTAACGCAAAGTATTACAGTTGGGGGGTAGAAAGAGAATAGGGGGAAAAAAAGCATGACCCAAAAAAGGAGGTGATTAAAAAAAAATACTCACCAACTATTATTTTTCGATCAGTCGGCAATAAATTTATCCAGTGATCACGAACCATCAGTAAAAAATGTTGATCTCATAAAAGTTGTTGATATAGTGTTATGTTGGGTGCAATTTGGTTTCGTAGACTCGTTTGTTAATCCGTAAAAGTAAAATTTCGAGCCCAACATCGAACGAAGCACTCACAACATTAGGGCCGCATCACTGCCATACTAAACTATGGAAAAAGTATTAAACTTCAAAATCGAAGGATTTAGTATTGCGCAATAGAATGTAGTTCCCTACATAGCATCCGGCAGATTTTTAGTTTGTAAAAGCATCAAAACTCTGAAAATTATAGTTTTTCAAAATTTAAAATCGAATATTTGTTTAATTTGAGAGTTGTTTTATTATTGGAAATGTCCTACTGCTTGTATGGCATTAATCTGCAACTCTTCCATAGTAAATAATAGAGCGAAGAAAAAGAGAGGCTCTGCGTATAACTACAATATGTTGGGAGATGACAATTCGGCCAGCGTTGATGTAAAGAATACCAACAGACTTTAACTTAATCGCACCAAAATATATATATATATATATACACACACACACACATACAACTATGTTTATTTTTTCTTATTCTAAATACTTTCGGTATTTATCTAATTCTAAAAACCTACAGTTATTTTTTTTAATATTGGTAGATAATGTTATTCTTATGTACTTTTCAATTTACTTAAATTTAATTGTGCGTAAAAAAATTTAACAAGTTGTAAGTGCTACACTGCTACTAAACTTGAGCAAGTACCGCCACAACAGTTAGCGGGGATTTAGTTTTAAATTTATAAATATTATTACACCTTATTGCGGGTTTAAAAATTTATAACAATAGGAAAATAAAACTAATCAAAATAAAAAACACTATATTGATTTTAATATATTTTTTTCCTCTGTAACTGTTGTATGGCAAGATTGGAACGAATATTTCCATTTTCAGATTCAAAGTTTTTATTTTTTTAAGTTTAAAACTAAGTTGTTTAATTATTGTCAATGTATCTCTAACTAAAATTTTAGTTAAAAATGTATTAATTAATTTGCTAGAAATTATCCTAAAAAAAAAAAAAAAAAACTGAGCCACTTTAAAAATAAATAATCCTTGTTTTGAAATTGTTGATTGTTAGTAAGTGCCCATTTAAATATAGCTATTTATGAATTTAAGGATATTTTTTTAATTACTCCGAATTAAAATATTCCTAAATGTTTTGAAATTTATTAAAACGAAAAGAAAATTTACTTCCAGTTTGTAAAATGTACGCAGCTAAAAATACAAACCTGGCGTCGGAGTTGGTTATTCAATATAGATAGAGAGGGAAATTTAATTTTTCTTTTTTATAAGTAATTTTTAATTCATATTCAGATTTGAAGGGTTTTTTGGGGGTTTTTTTTCGACGCACAATCATTGATAAAAAAATTAAAAATGTTTAAAAATATCGGCGCTACTTAAGTTTCTGGTTCTCTTCGTTGAAGAAGTCAACTTTCTAACTTATTGAGAATGAATGCAGTTATCTGCCCTTGAATTGTTTTTCGTGCCTTTCTTTTTTTTCTTTTCTTGAAAATATAAAACATTTTTTTCACTCCTTGGGAAACTATTAAAAGTTCTTGTGTTATTCTTTGCATATTTTAAATGCATTCTAGCTTCTGTACATTATTCAAATTTTGACAATGCTGAAATTCGATACCCATCAGTTCCCGGTAATCAGTCGAGCAGAACGCACGCAGTTTACGAATAAGAAATGGGGAAAGTCGCTTTCAAAAGTCTTCGATTATTCTACCTTATCAAAAAATGAAAACCTTCTTTTGCGATTTGAAATGTAACCAAGTTTAAAAATTGGAGTCATTTGTTATATTTTTCTATATATCTTTCTTCGTAAACTATCTGAAACTGGCGATGTTTTCCTTGCTATCGGGGCAATTATTTAAGATTTTTTTTTTAAAATGGCCGCTTTCCTGACTAGCTTGCGAACGAAAATTTTATCTTAACCACCCCCCAAAAAAAATTTGTTTCTTGCCAATTCTGAATGGTTACATTAAATTATTTTCCCGGTTTATTCTGAATTATAGCTTTGAGGTGTCTATTTTTTTTCCTTTATTGTCGCTTGCCACAAGTTAAAATTTAGTTTTTGGGCACTATTTGTTTTATTTTTGTATTATTAAAAACGTAGAGAAGTTGAACCTTAGCATGATGAAGAATTATGAAAAGTTATTGTTCTACTCTTAACTTAAACTTACTAAAAATTAGTTGGATATAATTCTGTGCGAATAAAAACTTAAAGAAATTAATAAATCACTTTTTAATTTATATTAATTTGGAATTGATTAAAAAAAGTAAGAAAGCTTGAAAAATCAATAATAATACTAAAATTAATTTGAGAACTAAGTGCTTCTTTTCACTTTTTAAAAAAAATTATACTAAAATTCAAATTTGATTCAGACATAAAGTGTAAAAGATCGATCGATTTCTGTGGTTATTTTGTATCAATTTATTTCAGTCTCTGCTTAAACTCCACAAGTTTAGTTTTTTTGCTTTTTTGTTCAACCTTCTTTTGAACTTAACAACATTATTAATATTAACAATAATTTTTTATAATACTAGGCATGTGTCAATTTTACTTTTTATTAAACACACGTTTATTTTTTTGGTTTTTTTTTTAACTCGATAGCAGATTACAGTAAAAGATTTGTAAAACGGTGCAAAACTGCGTTTAGATTTATTAAATTTTTTTCCATAATTTTGTATTTTTTTTAATATCCACAAATTATTTTCAAATATTTTATTAAATTTTAAATAGTGATGAAAGAAAAAGTCAGCTACGCTACACAAGTTGAGAAAAAAAAACACCTCGATTATTGCACTGATGATTTATTTTATACACCTGAAAATCGTTCTTACTTGTTGAGAAATAAGTTATAAGTTTAATTTTTTCTCTCATTTGTTATAATTTGAGCAAATTTCAACTACTAGTCAACAAAAGAGGGTTTTTTTTCTACAAGTTCATACAGTCAATTTAGGTGAAACCTGTGATAGTGTGATGATATGTTTTTTAGTTTAACTATTTCTGATTGATTTTTTTTTATTAATTCCAATTTCATTACCTTCTTTTTCCCTCACGTCGGTAGTTTTCTTTTTGTTCGAACTTTGAAAACAACAAAGATTACTGGATTAAGAGTTTAAGACTATTTAAAAAAAAACATCCAGTACTTAAGTCAAGGTATTATTATTCAATGTTAATTTGAATTGAGCTTTCTTTCTATATCTCTTAGTAGAAAAGGAAGGCCTTTAGGCCCCACACGTGGACCCAATGATTTATTTTAAGTACTTTGCTCGCGGTATATTAAATTTAAAATAAACGTGACATTTACTTTCTCTTGGGAATATAATCTTCCTTCTCTCATGGGCCTAATTAATTATTACTTCTTTATTTTTTTTTTTCTTTAATTTATGCGTAAAAAAATGTCTTTTTCAAATTTTCAGTCGTAAAAAGAGAAAAAAAAAACTTTCAGAAAAAAAAATGAACTCATTTTCTCTAGTATTTTTTTTCCATCATTGAATTGTTGATATTCTTTCTAGAACGGAATTTACAAATGCAAGATTAGTTAATAACTAAACTAAACAACTTATTTCGTCTGAGTTTCCAAACATCCATCCATTTTTTTCTTTTTTTTGATCGAATCGTCACCACTCCCATAACCGGGTGTGATCGTAGGGTCGCTGCACAGTTAAAAGCACCTTACTAATTCTCTCCTCGTATCTGGTTTGAAAAGGTATTCACTCATATGTAGCCTATCTTGAACAAGTAGATCTGACGGAGCCCATCCCTCTCAGCGTCAGACTTTAATGCTCGCCTTAGCCACGTGTATGTGGCCATTGATTCCATCAGGGGAAAACCTCCTCCACCCTGGCCATTGACTTCAGACAAGGAAGCTTTCC